CTGTATTTCACTAGACCTGTAATAGGTTTTTGAGTACGATGACTCTCATGGTCTGTTTGGTGCAGTCCAGGTTTACACCTTTGTCCCAGCATAACTGAAATTCCCCCTTCACTCTCAAATATTATTTGGACAATACATTGTATGATCACACTAACTAAGAGGTTTACTGAGCTACAACCCAGTTCTTGCCTTAGCTCTTTTATTCCTGCCCAGGTCTAACCATTAGTTCTTTATTTATCTATCTCCAATTCACTTTGACTAAGACAAGAAACAAAACACAAAAGAACTATATGTTTTAACAATCCTATTAAGATAAATGAAGCCAGTCTCTGAAACAAAAATGCAAATTAAAAAACCCCGTTGCTGTCGAGTCGATTCCGACTAATAGCGACCCTATAGGACAGAGTAGAACAGCCCCATAGCGTTTCCAACAAGCGGCTGGTGGATTCGAACTGCCAACTTTTTAGTTAGTAGACGAAGTCTTAACCGCTACATCACCAGGGCTCCAAAGAAGTAAATAAACACTCTGAAAAACCAATTTCTCATCATATCACCGTTCATTTTGTGCCACACAATTATTCAGGGACCCTGGCTGTTCCTTTTTAATTCTTTCATCTGTGTCCCAACTCTCCTCTTTGTCATAAGTATCTTTTCCATTCAGCCATTGGAGAAAGAGAGCGAAGAGTACACTGCTGGGAGGTGTTTATGACTAAGCCTAGAAATCATGCTTGTCATTCCCACTTACACTCCTTCGGCTAGAACTCAGTCAACATGATTATACCTAACCGCTAAGGAGGGTTGGTGATGTGGTCTAGCCTGTGCCAACAAAGAAGAGGAGAATAAGGTAAGCACTAACAAGTGATGCAATTTGTACTCTTCCCTTCCAAAAAAAGTAACACATTGCCTAGGATATTAAAGTCCTCTTTGAACAACTATTATCTGTTTGGTACGTAAACACCCAGACATTTTGCTAAGCATTTTTATACATTTATCCTTATAGGAATATATTGTATGGCTTTGTGTGTTTCTGTTCTGTCCCAGTGAGATCATACTCTATGAAGTACAATCTTTATAGACTAATATTCCTGTTTCAAATTCCCACTCCCATCTTCTCTGCTCCCTTGGATCAGACTTCCATCCCCACCTACCCAGGAGACTGCTCTTGTCAAGGTCACCAGTGATGTCCATGTTATTAAATAAGACAAATTCATGTTTTTATTATCCTTCTTTATTCCCAGCAGTATTCAACACACTTGACCCTTTCCTTCTACTTGAAACACTTTTTCTGTTTGTCTTCCATGATTCCACTGTCTCTTGGCTTCCCTGTAACTCACCGGCTGTTTCTCCTGTTTAGCTGGCCTTGCCTTTTCTCTTCCACTTATAAAGGTTGTAGTGCCTTAGTTGTGGGCCACTTTCTCTTCTCAATGTCCAGATACTCCCTGGCTGATCTCATTCACTACTATTTTTTTTTTAAATTGTACTTCAGGTGAAGGTTTACAGAACAAATAGTTTCTCATGAAAGAGTAGTACACATATTGTTTTATGACGTTGGTTAACAACCCCACGACATGTCAACCCTCTCCCTTCTCGACCTTTTTTTTTTTGGTAAAAATATACATAGCCAAAGATACACAATTTCAAAAATTTCTACATGCACAGTTCCAGTTGTGCTGCTATTCTCACTTTAGATGAAGGTTTACAGAACAAAATAGTTTCTCATTTAACAGTTAGTACACATGTTGCCCTATGACAATGGTTAACAACCTCACAACACGTCAACACTGTCCTTACTCAACCTTGGGTTTCCTATCACCAGCTTTCCTTTCCCCTCCTGTCTTCTAACCCTTGTCCCTGGATTGCTGTGCCTCATTAGTCCCATTTGGATTTTTGGAGCTGTCCACTCCCCGGCTGAACGGTGAACCTCGGAAGTGACTTCACCACTGAGCTAAAAGGGTGTCTGGGGGCCATACTCTCAGGGTTTCTCCAGTCTCCTTTACGCCAGTAAATCTTGTCTTCTTTTTGTGAGTTAGAATTTTGTTCTACATCCTTCTCCAGCTCTGTCCAGAACCCTCTGTTGTGATCCGGGTCAGAGCGGCCAGTGGTGGTAGCTGGGCACCATCTAGCTGTACTGGACTCAGTCTGGTGGAGGCCTTGGTAGCTGTGGTCCATTAATCCTTTGGACTAATCTTTTCCTTGTATCCTGTTCTCTTCATTCTCCCTTGCTCCCAAAGGGGTGAGACCAGTGGAGTATCTTAGATGGCTGCTCACAGGCTTTTAAGACCCCAGACGCTACTCACCAAGGTAGAATGTAGCACATTGTCTTTATAAAGTGTGTTATGTCAATTGAGCTAGATGTTCCCTGAGACCATGGTCCCCACAGTCCTCCTCCCAGCAATTCAGTCCCTCAGGGAGTTTGGATGTGTCTCTGGAGCTTCCATGACCTTTCCTTGTACAAGTTGTGCTGGTTTCCCCTGTATTGTGTACTGTCTTACCCTTCACCCAAGATACCACTTATCTATTGCCTATTTAGTATTCCCCCCTCACCCCTCCCATCCCTGGTAACCAATAAAGATTGTTACTTTTTGCGTGAACTTTTTCATGGGTTTTTACAATAGAGGTCTCATACAATATTTGTCCTTTTGTGATTGACTTATTTCACACAGCATAATGTCCTCCAGTTTCATCCAAGTCATGAGATACTTCACAGATTCATCATTGTTCTTTCTCTTTGCATAGTACTCCATTGTGTGTATGTACCATAGTTTGTTTATCCATTCATCTGTTGATGGACATCTAGGTTGTTTCCATCTTTTTGCTATGGCGAACAATGCTGCCATGAACAAACGTGTGCATATGTCTATTCGAGTGACGACACTTATTTCACTAGGATATATTCCTAGGAGTGGGGTTGCTGGATCATATGGTATGTCTGTTTCTAGCTTTCTAAGGAAGTGCCGTATCATTTTCCAAAATGGTTGTATCATTTTGCATTCCCACCAGCAGTGCATAAGAGTTCCGATCTCCCGGAAGTCCTCCAACATTTGTTATTTCCAGGGTTTTTGATTCGTGCCAGTAATGCCGGGGTGAGATGGTATCTCACTGTGGTTTTAATTTGCATTTCTCTAATGGCTAGTGATCACAAGCATTTTCTCATGTGTCTGTTGGCCTCTTGAATGTCTTCTTTGGTGAAGTGTCTTTTCATTTCCTTTGCCCATTTTTTAATAGGACTATTAATCAAACATATGGAAACTGAACAACACCTTGCTCAAAAACTCCTGGGTTATAGAAGAAATAAAGGTTGGAATAAAGAAATTCATCAAATCAAATAAGAATGAAAACACTTCCTACCAGAACCTTTGGGACACAGCAAAAGCAGTGCTCAGAGGTCAGTTTATGGCAATAAATGTACACATCCAAAAAGAATAAGGGGCCAAAATCAAAACATTAACCTTACAACATGAACAAGTAGAAGAAGAAAAGCAAAAGAAGCCTTCGGGTTCCAGAAGAAAAGAAATAAGAAGATTTAGAGCAGAATTAAATGAAATAGAGAATAGAAAAACAATTGAAAGAGTTAACAAGACGAAAAGCCGGTTCTTTGAAAAGATCGACAAAATTGATAAAAGATTGGGAAAACTAACAACATAAAATAACCCACATATGAAATAAGATGGGTGATATCACAACAGACCCAACTGAAATTAAAAGAATCATAACAGAATACTATGAAAAACTGTAGTGTAACAAATTTGAAAACCTAGAGGCAATGGACAGATTTCTAGAAACTCACTACCTACCTAAACTAACAGAGGTCGAACAACTAAGAAACCCATAACAAAAGATCATAAAGGTAATTAAAAAACTCCCAACAACAAAAAAAGTGTTGGCAAACAAAAATCATTTACTGACAGAAAAGAAACAGGAAGAGTTCCATGGTAGGTGGTCTCTTCTGGCTCAAAAAAAAGTTGTGCAGGCAGGGATGAAGACTCTTCTAAGTGTGCCCCCACTTTGCCCAGTAGGTGAGGGACCTGCTATTTCCTCCCTTAGCCAATTTTATATTCCTAGAGCTGCATTTCACTACAAAGATTTTCAAGCCTGACCAGTTGCGAGTGAATGGTTAGACATGTGAGCGCCAGCCTGGAATGTAACACTTTAGCCCTGCTAGTTACCAGGCTTTCATTGACTAAGGAAGACCGAAGAGAATTGATGCGTTTGAATTATAGTGCTGGCAAAGAATATAGAATCTGCCATGGACTGCCAGAAGAATGAACAAACTTGTCTTGGAAGAATTACAGCCAGAATGCTCCTTAGAAATGAGAATGACGAGACTTCATCTCATGTACTTTGGACATGTTATCAGGAGGGACCAGTCCCTGGAGAAGGACACCATGCTCGGTTAAGGAGATGGTTAGCAAAAAAAAGGAAGATTCTCATGACACAGTGGCTGCAACAATGGGCTGAAACATAGCAATGACAATGAACATGGCACAAGACTAGGCAGTGTTTCATTCTGTTGTACATAGGGATGCTATGAGTCAAAACCGACTAGATGGCACCTAACAACAAGAGAAAATTATCAGGCATGTGTGGGGTTTGGTGGCTGTTTGTTCCTGAAGCCCTAGAATGCTAGTAGGGAGGGAGGAACTATAGCCGTTTGGGCCCTCTGAAGGACTGCTTCCTCTAAGTGGAAATGATCTCCTCCATACTGTATTGGAAACCCTAGTGTTGTAGTGTTAAGCGTTCGGCTGCTAACCAAAAGGTCAGTAGTTTGAATCTACCAGACGCTCCTTGGAAACCCTATAGGGCAGTTTTACTCTGACCTACAGGGTCAGTATGAGTCGGAATCAACTTGACGGCAATGGGTTTCTTTTGGTTTTTATATTGTATTACCATATTTTTTGTGAATGCAACATTGAAAAATGTTAAAGATTTTCCAGCATAAATCACAATGTGTCCCAAGATAACCCCAGGCTGCAATAATAAAATGCCATTACTATTATTAGTTTTGAAAAGGTGTATGGTTATGTTTTATTAAAAAATTATAATTTAATGATATGTACTTAAATTTTTATAGGTGAAAAGATGATTTAATGTCTAGAATTTTTTTCACAATAATTTGGGGATATAGAAGAAATGCAATAGGCCATTAGTTGAAAGTTGATGAGCTGGGTGATTAATACACGAGACAAGCTTAGTGTTATATTCTTTTTACTTTTGTATATGTTTGAAATTTTCAAAAATAAAAACTTTCAATACTTGAAGTAATACTGATGACCGTTTTTTACTTCTTCCTCTAAATAGTAAAAAATCGGTCACCAAGTTTGGGCACAAGTTTTTTCTGTAAGGAAATACTGAACAGATTCTTCAGCACTTCTTTTACTTCGTCCTCTTTTAGGGTCTTAAACTCTACCAGATCCATATTGTCCTTATAATTGAACCTTCGAGAGGTGAGGGTGAGGCCCACTAAACAGTGAACCCCTTCTTGTGTCTGCAAGGAACAAAAAGATTTGCTTGTAAACACAGACGCTGGAGATGTCTGAAGGAACGTGTTCACGGAGGCAAAATCTTCAATTGTTCGAGGCTCAAGAGTAAAAGAGTAGATTTTTCGATATTTATTCTTTTCCAGGAGATCAGAATTAAGAAATTCTTCATTTGGAATGCACTGCTCTCTTCTGATTTGGTCTAGGTACCAGATTCCTCCCTCTTCCCTCAAGCGGAAGATGCAGGGTATCTGAGGTTGATCCTTCCCAGGAATTAGCTCCAGAGGCTGCCACATCTGGTAGGAACATCCAAAGCCAGCATCTGCTATGTAGTTTGTGCCATCTATGGTCACTTGCAACAGGAGATGAATCATGTTATTACTATATCTGTCATCTGGAGTGCTGTAGACATAACCTCCCAACATTGTGGTCTCAAAACCCATTGTAGTCAGAGCCCAGTACAGGAGATAATTGACCTGGAGACACCACCCACCTCGCTTCCCCCTCACAATTTGTTCAAAAATGGTCTTTAAGTCCAACTTCATTTCTTCTTCACAATGGATGTTGAGGTTCTCAAAGGGAATGGCTCGGATCTGGTGTTGAAGGATGTCAGTTAATGTTTCCAAGTCCAATGTCTTCCTAGAGTCTGTATACCCAATACGTTCAAAATATGCTTCAATGTCCATGATCTCCTAAAGCAAGAAAACAAAATAAATAAATAAATAAAATGACTTTTGTACTTAGATTTTCTTAAGTAGGCTAATTATAGTTATAATGTATTTTAAATACACCTACTCCTCACTTATTGACTATCTTGTTATCTGTTATTTTGAATTTACAACAACAGTAAAACAACTACTATCTGACTATTTTGCCAATTAACAAAGTACATCTGGCAGTAACGAACACCGAGGTGCAAGGTGAGAGTAATGCAGGGTTTGATGGCTAAAGTGATGTGTCATCGTGGCTGGGCCATGATTCTCAGTGGTTTGGCAGTTATATAATGATGTAATTTAGCATTTATGTAATCATGTAGTCATCCTCAATTTTGTGATCTGATGTGGTCATCCTTCATTTCACACAACGCCTATTTTTGCATAACGACTTGGTCTTCAGAATCTAACCATGTCGATAAGTAACTAGTGGGTGTATCTAATTACAAACAATGGTTATAAGTATCTGTAGTAATAATTCATTGTTTAGTGATTTTATGTAAGAATTTCTTTCACTGTAAGTCACTTAATTATCTCAGTAACACTGTAAGTGAAGCAATGTCCTCTTCACTCTTACTTCTTCCATCTTTAAAACATGTGTAAATGGAAATCCAGATTAAGTGACAAGCCAAAAGACAGCTTAGATATGTTTCCTTGTAATGAATAAAATGTGATTGCAATGGTATTAACTAAAAGAGGGACTATATAGGCTGGGCTAACATGGCAGAGTAGTCAGATGCTTCCGGTGGTTCCTCTTACAACGAAGACCCAAAAAAACAAGTAAATCGACTATATGACAATCTAGAAGCCCTGCCCATCAAAGGCAAAGTTGAGGAATTGGACTGAGTGGTAGGAGGAGGGAGAGATGGTTCAGAAGCAGCAAAGAGTTGCCAGACCTGACCTGGCAAGAGCCTGAAACCTTTAGGCTGGATCAGATCGTGGTGCATGGTGAGGAAAGCAGTGGTGCTCAGAAGGTGCTTTCTATATTGGGAGAGACCCAGTGGTGGAGAGTCTACTAGGTCATCCAGAAGCAATGAGAAGCAGCCCTGGATCAGCGAAAGATAAGTACTTGCATCTGGCCTACCTTGCAGATAAAAAACACCCCCCTTTGGGAGAGACTTCTCCCCATTTACCTCTCAACTCCCTGCTCTGCACTGGTTCCAGGATGGCTTCAGCAATTGCCAAGTCCCCTGGGCTGGAAGTAGGACCGGTCAGGTGCCCTGGCGTATTTTCCTGGACTTGGAGAGGGAACAAATTAACAAACAGGGGGAAAAAATAATCGGAAAGCTCCCCTAAGCCAGGAACTCAGGCTAGGCACAGCTCCTCTGCCTAGGTACAGGCATAAAGGACCCACAGACTTTGAAAGTCTTTCCCACTGCAGAGACCTGTGTGGGCCCATTTCAACAGCATAGGCCCTGATTACTACAGTTCAACAGAGAGTATACCTGAAGTCTAACTTCAACTGTTTCAAATGTGAAGTGGCAGGTTCATGACATTTGACACTGCTCTGCCCATTAAGCAGGGTCATCACCTATCCACATCAGGGGCCTGAGGACTGGTGGTTCCACCCATGCCACCAACCCCCTGTGACATGGGCCCAAGAATAAGTGCTGTCCCCAATCCTTACAACCAACAGCATTGGGTGCTCATAGTCTGGCGGAAAAACCCACCCACCTACGTGCTGTAGGGAACAGGGACATGCTTTCCTCCTGGACACTCAGGGGCAGTCATCAGCCCCTTACCTTCCTCAGTGTGTGACCACTGCTGCAGTCAGATGTCTGTGCCTACACCAATCACCCATGCCTGTCTAGGACTGTATGTGAGAGCTTGCACCACACACTGGTGGCCGGCTACCTGGACACCTGAGCCGAATCCATACAGGAGGAGTGGGCGGACTCCTAGGCTCACATACTCAGTGACAGTTCTGGCCACCTGCTGGCAGGACGTTGCAGCTTCAGCAGCACCGGTGATCGGGCTACCTCACACAAGCAGCCTATTTGGGCATATCAAAACAAAACAAAACAAGAAGCTAGGACACAGTAAGCAAACATAAAATAAATAAATATAATAACTTATT